AGTCAAGCTTCGCTCGTACTCTGCGAGCTCCCTGCCCGCACAAGCTGCACGCTTCAGAGTACATATTGTCCACCACTTCTTTCTCTTCACCAGACGATGTTTCGTACTTCTTTTCCATCTTCTCAAACCAGGCACTGATAGTCTGGTAGACTCCATAGTGCTCAGACACCTTGAATTCTTCTGGCTTCATTGTGTAGCCGTCAAGCAGCATCTGCCTGATCTGGAGGCGTCTCGGGAACCCTTCCAGCTTGTGCACATGCTTTCCAGAAGCCATGCCTGCAATCTTGTTTCCTCTGATCAGCAGGCGTCCGTAGGACTCCCTCGGTCCGGACAGATATGCACTTGCGCCAATCCATACATCTGGGATAGGAACGAGTGAGGCAAAACTGATGTTTGCTACTGTGAGACTGCAACGCAGGTGCGGAAAGGAACCGCGAGCATGTGCTCAAGTCAGTGAGACAAGCTCAATTACGAAGCTCATGAATTCAAACGTGGCCATCTGGGTGGGCAATCTCATCGAGATTCTTTTTCCGGGTCAAGGCATATCGAAATGCCTCTTTCTTATCACAAGAGACCTCCGGCAGATCTGGCCACGGCTTAGGCACTAAGTCTGAAGGATGCTCCGGAATACGGATGTCGCTGTGGTATGGTGGATTTCTACAAACCCATTCTGAACGAATTTGTGTGTTTCCGGACCATTGGGCAAAGAAGGGTGACGTACTGTACTGTGGGATAAACTTCTGCCTCGAAAGGTATAGATGCTTCACTATGTAGCGAAATGATTATGCTAAAACACCCCAAGATCTTTCTTCGAGTGGAGCTGAGTTTTAGGGTCCCAGAATCATCCAAAATCAGAAGCATGCCATTGCGAATCTTGCTTGATGTTAATGGGTGGGTAACGATCCGACCACAGTGCAAACGAAATGACCAATTCCAAGCGTGAGATGCCTGGGTCGTTCTTGTCAGACGGGATTTGCTGTCCAGGAACCTGGAAAATCAAAACATCTTCACCAGGTTAGGGGATCTACCCAGTTTGGGGACAATTTACCACATTCGCTCCCCTCTCTCACCATCCACAAAACCAAGCGTCTGTCGCTCGTCGATATCCAAACGCAAGGTGGCGACCTTGCGGCCTTGGAACACGAGGCGGCAGGAGAGCGGTGTGTGCCAACCCTTGCTGTCCAAGAGAGGTATTTTGTGACCATAAATGGGCCCGAATTTACTGTGGTACCTATGGGATAGCCGCCTAGCCTTTTTGGGGTTCTTCAACTTCTGTTGGTTTTTCTTTTCTGCATACCACAAAAAGGACAAAAGGTCTAGGATTTCGACTGCGAGGTTTGGTTAGTTTACTTGAGTTTCAGGATTTGGTGACAAGTGATGATTGTGAGGGGCACTTGGTTGCCCCAGCCCCACCCTCAAGTACAGCACGTCGGACCGCAAGACCCTCCAATCTGACGGCCTTTTTTGGACCCTATATAACGCTATATAATATCAGTGATTTCATATAGAGTTCAATATAATAGAGGCGTGCGTTGGAATCTGGTTGTGTCCTGGATTTCGGGTTAGGCTGGAAGATCAAAGCATGCTGTTCCTCTATCAAGGTTTGCCCTACACTCGAAATGCAGGGCCATGGTCTTGCAGTCCTTCTTTCGAGGCCAAACGTTGTTGGGCCCCACATATAGTTTTTAACAAATGCTAATTATGTGATAGCTCCACCAATCCGCAAACAGGTACCTCACCGTCACTATTCGGACAAAGAAGATCTGCAGGCGTCTATTGCATTATATAGACGACTCAGGCATGGATTGCTTGGATTGACGTTGCCAGGATGTTCAAACCGTTGGGAAAATTAACAGGTTTTGTCGCAACAATTAGTGGCAAAAAGAAGAATTATCCCGGCAAGAGACCCCAAACAGTGTGTTTGAGGTCTAGAGGTGTAAGCAGCAGAAAGTCTAGAGATCTATAGACGCATTGGGGTCGAAACAGAGGTGATGAGATTGTGGTGCTTGTGGTGGTGATGATGGTGGTGGTGGTGGGTGGTGATGGTGTGATGGTGGTGGATAGGGGTTCGCGAGCTAGGAAAGGTTACGACACCTGTACTGCACCTGCCACGAAATCTGCACTTCAAGATGCACAACGTACTGCACCTGGCACCTGCAACGAAATTTGCACTTCAAGGTCCACAAAGCACTGCGCCGGCCACGAAATGCGCACTTCAAGTTCCACAAAGTACTGCACCTGCCACCAAAAATGCACTTCAAGGTCCACAAAGTACTGCACCTGCCACGAAATTTGCACTTCAAGGTCCACAAAGTATACTGCGCCTGCCACGACATGTGCACTTCAAGGTCCGCAAAGTACTGCACCTGGCACGATTTCTCAAAACGAGCCGCGCCACATGTCCAAAACTCACGATTCACCGCACCTGCCACGAAATCAGAGCATGCCGAAGACCACCGCCATGTCCAAAGTACTGCGCCTGAGACTTAAATTCTACACATCGACGTCAAAATGCTGCGATCTCCTGCACCTGTCACAGAAAGTCGACTTTAGACCACACCAAAACACGAGGTTTCCCTTGCGCCTGCCACGAAAAGTGATCACGAAGTCCAAAAATGCGCACGGCACCACAAGGAGAGAGCGCACCTCCGTCAAGCACCGTCCCGCGGCCAGCGTTTCGCGCGACCCTACGCAAAGATATTGCATTGGACATCTCAGAACGGAACTTTCCTGCGAGCCTGCGCAGCCAAAACGCGCGGGCACAAAGAGCGTTCCCTGATCAAACCGGGCTTTTACACTCACCGTAAGAAGCCCTCAGTGTGGACACACTCTTTGGGGAACGGCCCTACGATCCGCAAAGAAGAACACAGCCTTCCGTTCGACAAAGAACCATTGTTTGGCAAATCCTAGGGTGGTGAATACCAAAACCAGTGGTACGACCGGAGCCACGCTTTCAGGGCCAACAAGAAGCACCTGGTTGGTGCCACGTGGCGCAGCTGTTCTCGATCCATATGGGTGGGCCCGGCGCCACGCTTCAAAGAGCCTTGGAAGGAGGAGCTTTTCAAGCTGAGCTGCTCAGCAGGTCCAATACATGACGACGTGTGGAGCTCGGTGGGGCAAAAAAGTTCTGGAACGATTTGAAGAACGAAGGATCTCAAGAAACATGTTTCACTGAAAACTGAGATCACGAGATGGTTGGAACCAAGTGAGTTCATTGATCTGTCCTTTCATTGTCCACAAAAATGCATTAAAAGTCCTCTAGCTCCACGTTAATATATTTCAATATATATTTATGATGCGTGCGATTCTATACACACACTAATATGCCTTTGGATTCACTTGAGGCTGGCAACTTGAGCAAATAAAACACCATAGAGAGCTCCTTTCACCAAACTCACCAGGTCCAGCTTGAACCTCTCCACCTGCCCTGGACCGCGAGGCTACGCCCGTCCTCCGTCCTCGGCCAATTCGCGGCCAAACCCTTTCTCCGCTCAGCGCTCAGGTCGCTCTCAAAGGGCTCCGGTGCCTTTGCGTCCCTTGTGGGATCTCAGAAGCCACCGGAGCTCGTCCTAAGAGCGACCGACCGGGTGGCGAAACGATGAGTGTAGATGAGTGTGGGCAGTCCACACTCATGGCATGTTGTGAAGAACTCTCCGTGGATCCTCTTTGGTGTCTTTGGATTCCTAACTGAACATAGCAAAAATTGCCGATCAGCCACTCTTGATCCTTCCCTCATGTTCCCTCCTTCCAGCGATGGGTTCTGCGTTTCACCTCTGTCATCCCTGATTCCTCCACAGCGATAGGTTGATCGAGCGCCGCCCAGCGTACAAGTGATGATTAATCACAATTAATCTGCGTGTGGATTCATCCCAGAACCCGCCATGCTAAGGGGCCTTCAAACTGCCATGGGTTCGTCGTAATGGTATCACCAAACTTTTAACCACCGGTTAACAGGGGAGGCAATGGACGAACCCAACTCTCATAGTCTCATAGTTTTATCTTCTTTGAATGTGGATCGGCATGCCATACCAGCTCTCAAACTTGATAAGCCAAAAATGTAACCGCTTACGATCCTGTATGCATATATTACCGATGTATTTATATTATAATTCTATAATTACATACTTGATGTTTTGCTAGCCTTTCTCATGACAGTCGGGGCTTCGACTGTGCCCGGCCACCTTCTTCGCAAAGTCCAAGGGCGTTGCCCCTTGGGTGTTCGTCGCATTCGCGTCCGCGTTGTGCTGCAGCAGCCTGGAAATGTGAGCACAGCGTGCGTTCCGCGTTCCGTGGTGATTCAAGTTCATATGGGCGAGAACAATGATCATGCCACAGAACCATCAAAGCAACAAACGGGCGCTTCTTCCACCATCTTCCACCTAAACATCCTAAAACCAGCCCAATACCAACAAGTTCCTGGCATCAGTTCACAGGCACTCCCCCCTCTTCACCCTCACGCTCCGAGGAGCAGCCCGGCCAGTTCCACGTCTCCCAGCTTCACCGCCAAGTGCAACGGAGTCTCCCCGTCCTCGACGAAGGCGACGGGAGGCGACGTCGCCGACGGAGGTGGAGAAGTGAAGATCCACTTTCAGCATGCTGACGGAGGTCTTCGGGAATTCCCATGATTTTCGGGTCCCGGAGGTCCCGGAAAAGGCCCACAAAAAGACACCATAATGAGGTGTTCAACGCCCGATTTCATTGGGTCCTTGGACTGGTAGCAATGCCTTTGGGACTGGAAGAGATGCATACAGAACCCTGAAATCGGGAAGATATGTGATATGTACAACAGACCAGCATGTCTGGAAGATATGCCCCAGAAAGACCGCAGGTCAGTCAACCACCCCCAAGTGATAGACACCCTCTATGCCTGTCCCGTGGAACGGTTTGGGAAACGAATATGTTGGTCACCTTGTCCCGGAATGGAATGTATGGGGTAGCACCTAGCACAAGCGTATCTGATGGCATGATTGCTTGCCGTGGGGCCCTATTGGCCCAACTGAACACTGAACTTCCTCCCGGCCTTGGCTGTAGATGGGATTAGCTTCATGAGATCCAATTAGGTCACGGATCTCGCTCGACCTGGGACCTGGTCGAAACACTGGTCAGTACCCAAACCTATATGCCTGCTTTGACCCCTTTTCAACCACCCCAGATCGTTGAAATAGGCCAGTCCCATGGATGGTGTAGGGTATGAAGTACAGGACCTGGCTTTGGTGGAATGACATCACCACATCGCCTGCAGGCCTTCTGAGAAGGCCCTAGGCCCAGCAATAAAAATACACCTTCTGGACCTGGAAAAAGAAGCGGGAGTGGTCCGACATCCCACACGCTCCATGGATGGAACATCCTATCAGCCAAATTGGGCGCACACCAGGTGACCAAAGGATTAAAATGACCCACAGCCCACCTCGTGCATTGATGGTCCACTTTAGATCGTTGTTTTCTTTGTGCAGTGCCCCTTGCACATCGGATCGAATCACGCAAGGACCACTCTGAGCATCGTAGTCGCGCCCATTCACGTCGCTCTTCCAGGTCAAAAGCACTTGGACCACCTGACCGGTGCAGCGATGCGCTGGCCTCGAGAATCCCAGAGACGACCTGTCTGGGAGTGACGGACTACCGAGAAACGGCCAGGGGTAGTGCCAGAGGGGTCATAGGTGGTATAGGTGGTATAGGGGGGTCCATGTCTGTAGGTATAGGTGGTATATATGACAGACATGGAGTGTCTGGGATCCCGGCACCGGCGTGAACGCCATCGGTCTCCGGCTTCGTCAGAACGATCCCGGCTGACTATACCCAAACACGACCCATGGGACTGCCATAGATGCCGGGTAGTTTCAGAGATCAACGTAGGCAAATATGCCATACATCGAGTGTCTGGGATACAAAGTGTTGGAAACGCGGCATCTCGATACTGGTAGTCTACGCGTGTCCTTGCCAGGACGCCACCTATGGACCGCAAACTGCTGAGCGCGATGGACCATCCATCGCTATATATGTCCGAAACCCAAACCATGAAGAAATATGACTGAAGAGTATCGATGAGCAAAGGTCACGGATCAAAACCTCTAGTTCTTCAGTCGGCTCACGACGATCCATCCCGAGCCGCTCGACATTTTTGTCTGATTGGTCCATCTTCTGGGTCCCATGGAGTCGGGATCTTCATCCAACCCAAGCAAAAATTCCTTCTATTCTCCTTCTCAATCAACCACCCCTAACTGGGGTTGGCACGTCTTTTCGCCTGCTACACTATAGCGATCTGTTCGGTCAGAGACCTCTGAATTCGACACCTTGGAAGACCCACCTACCTAGCTCGGCTCTCATGTCCACGAGCTGTGCTCACCTATCCGGGCCGGGCCTCGAGATCCGCATAGCCACCGGGCACCACGTGCAGAGCGCTCTCTCCATCGTTGGAGCGCGCGTGCAGATCGGCGCCGCGCCGGAGGAAGCTTTCCACCAAGCTCGGGCGGAGACCCACGTGCGGAGCTAAGGACGGCGGGGGTCGGTTCAGGTACTGGTTTTTCGCCCACGCGTTCTGAAGGCGTGTTTTTGTGTTTTGCCTTGTGGTGTGTCTTTCTTTTTACCTTTGCTGGGCCCACACTTCCAAAACCCGGTGGGACAAAGGATGACATTCTGCAGTCGAAGCAGAGTTCCATTGTGGCTGGACATCTCTATATTATAAGATTTCAAGTCGTTTTTCGAGGGGTACACATTATAGCACCACTTGGGAGCAACACATATAATATAATATGTTCATCAGCGGCTGTAGAGGGGTTTATGAAAAGTATTGAAAAGTGGTGACTGGATTTCTGACTGCAAGTCAAGTATCCCGCGAGAAATTCCAGTTGTTCCGCTGTGAAAGCTGGAGGATGCTGGAGGAATTGCGTTTTAAGGACCCCCGAGGACCCCGCCAGGTCACCAAATTGCAAAGTGTGTCACACTGGTGTATGCGCAACTTCTACATCAACATGACCCAGACACTCCATATAATTATGCCATATTTGGCTACATTGGGGTGGTTTGGGGGGTCAATGGGGCGAGTGTTTGGGTGATGTAATCTAGTAGCCACCACAAGCAGCTTCATGCCAAGGGACGCGCCGTCGCCCCAGCGCGCGGCCTCGTGCAGCGGGTGCCAGCCGTCTTGGTCTGCGGAGGTGACGGAGGCACCAAAGGAGAAGATGAGCTCGCAAAGCTCCAAGTCCTCAGAGTGATTGAATTGGCCGAAGAAAACAAATATGAGTGTTTATGTTTAATGAGAGATTGACATGATTCAATGGAGCTTAACATGATTCAATGTGACATGGGAGTTGCATAAGATTTGAGACAGTATGATGTTCATGGGAGCCTTCTTGTCATCCTGTCATTCGAACGATGTGCTGAACAGTTCAGGTCAACAACCCGCTAGGCTTAAGCCACATGCCTGCATTATGGCATCGTCATGTGGTTCTCCGCTGAGGAAAGCAAGCTAACCAGCACTGGCACTGGCACCGGCATAATCTGTTGTTCCCATCAGGCCCAAACACCAACCCCAGAACAACGAAGTAAAACCAGGCAGCCAATACTTGGGCAACTATCAGATAGATCATATCATATCATATCATATCATATCTTTTGAAATACGACCCTTTCCTGGTCGAACATCCCCCGCCTGGTCGGACACAGGAGCATCATCTGTGATCCGTCTTGCCGGGCAAGTCTGGTTGGGAGGCACCCAACCAAGCATACCCAGCAAACCAATCCCAAGAAAGAAAACCTCCCAGTCTGCGGCTCCGGAGAGCTTGGGCAGAAAGAACACATTTCTGCCGGCATCTGTTTCTATGCTGGCCACCAGGTTGCAGAGATGGAACATTGATGCTGGAACAAACACGTTTCGTGAGGGGCTGCCACATCTTGTGCAAAACACCCTCCATCACGACGACTGGATGAATCTATATGAGACTCAATTGAGACTGTGATGATGTGGATGTCTTATGGATGTCTATGTTCGCTGCTGCGACTCACGTTTCTACTTCAACGGCCAATGTCTCGACCGCGCCCGAAAACGGCGCCGCAGCCCAAGCGTCGCCGAAGCGAGCGGCCTTGTGCAAGGGGCTCTCGCCATCCGCGTCTTGTAGGTTCACGTCCCTGAGAGCCCCGAAGAGCGGAGCTGAACACCACCGAGCTTACAAGACCAGGGAGTGGTGTACCAGTATAGCTGGTGGTTTTGAAGTCGTGGCTAAGTCTAAGTGTCATGTCCTGCTCCTTATCTGCTCTTCATGCCTAGAGATTCAAAAGTTTGTGGCGAAAAGTGTTTGGAGTTCTAGGGCATGGTTTGAACATTGCATGTTTAGGTGGATCATTGTCAGATTTGTTAATTTGTGTGTGAAGACTCCGCGAAGAGCTACAGTACAGGTGGCTAAGTACACCATGAAGAACGACAGTTCTCACGGTAGCCGCTGCAGTAGTACATATTCACCAAAGCTTCCCTTAATCTGAATCCGTCGATTTACCACATCAACTCCATGATCCAACCTGGCTTTGCATAGAAACATCATAGAACAAACATCCACTTGAAACAAACAACTGCTCACATCAAATGCGCCCTTGGGCCTTGGGATAACTTTAAAGTTTTGCTTCTCACACCACGCCTTCGTGTGGCTGTAGGAAGTGGTCCATTCCTCCACCTACCCTGCCAGCAGAATCTATAGTAGTTCTTTACCTCCAAATGCCTTCCCTTAGCATCCCTCAGCCGCCTCTAGCCGCTAGCCCACGAGCCACTAGTAGTTTCGTGCCCATGTGTCCATGAATTTGGGTCTGTTCCGGACACTTGGCATGGAACATGGCAAAACACAAAAAGCAACAACTTGCAAAAAACAATGATTCAGGACCTTCCCAGACCTTTTGAGATCCCAGAATGAGGCCACTTAGGCCTTGAAAAGGTCACTTACCAATCCTGAAGAGGTCACTGGGAAGGTCCTGGATTCTATTTTGTTCCAATGTGTTTCACATGCGTTCCAAGTGACGCCCTCTGCAGCAGCAACGCTCCACACACCTCCGCATGGCCATTGGCTGCTGCCAGGTGCAGCGCCGTGCGCTGCTTGGCACCGCTGCTCAGCGCGTCCAGGGCCACGTCGGGCGCCAGGAGCAGCTGGGCAACCGCTTCGTGGTGGCCCTCCTCACGTGGAAAGCTCTGTAACAAAGGCTGAAGAACCGGAAAGCGCCCTATCTCGGTTTGGGGCACCCCAGCTTGGTAGGGTCCTACTGCAGGTTACGTAAAACCTCTCTTGCTCTGATCAAATGAAGTGACTTCAGTGCTGCGATGGAGAGCTTCTGCGTGGCGAAAGATCGTTTCGTGCTTGGTCAGAAGGGGGTCAGAAGATTGCGTCATTCCGGCGATTCGGGCAAGTGACTGGCAAGAACCTTTTCGGTCTGGCTTTGTGCATTAAAGTGTCAGACTCGATCCTTCATGAGCAACAATGGTGTGAATGTAGGGTGCAGGCCCATCAAATTTCACGAATGCTGGCCTATCCGGCCTATCCTCTATGAAACACCGCTTAAAACCCTTTGGAACATGAGGCGTCATGCAACGATCCTCTTGAACAGGCACTGACTGCACTAATTACCTGCGATCTTATGAACAACAGGATCTCCTAGCGAGTCAAAGCATACAAGAGAACGTCGCCAGTGTCCTGCGCAGCCAAATGCAAAGGCAAATGCCCTCCATCATCTGCGGCTGTTGCATCGACACCATTCCTCGGCATGACCCGCCATGTGTGGGACTTCACCCTCGAGGCTTGAGAAGCTTAGCCTCGCAAGACTGCTTCATCTGCAAAGCACCTGTGCTTGGGCATGAAGAGACACTGCCTGCGTGGTCCCTTTGGATTGCTTCCGAGTCGAAACTGGAAGGACCTTAAGGTGCGGGAATCGGGAGGATGTGGGCCATTCCAAGTGGTGCACCCGAGACACCCCTGGGACCCTGCTTCTTGCAGAAGGTCTGCTGATTGGTTCTTCAGATCTTACTCTTCTCTTCCAAGCCTTTTCCACATCCAGCGCCAGGTCCTGCACCTGCCCGATCCTATAAGCCCAAGCGTCTGCAACAAGAGTTGCACACACTGGGCATGCCCCTGCTTGGCACAAAGGTGCAAAGGAGTCGATCCATCCACATCGCTTTGTTTCAGCAGCGCCACGTTCTGCCTGAAGGGGTGCGCTGAAACACAACTCTTAGATTGATGGATGAGCAAATGAGAGCCCTAAATCCCCTATAGCTGTTTGCACATGACCTCTCCTATTCGGTTCCTTTTTTCAGGTATTTCGGATATCTTTGACTTGTCAAGTCCTTTATCAAAACAAGGGATGCTAGACCCTTGATTGATTAAAAGAACCAAACCAAACATGGATTCTATTGTAAAACCTCTTCAGGCCCGTGGAGGAATATATAGAACTTTCATTCCTAGCACATGACTGAAGGCAGCTCGTGACGTCTCGAGGCGATCGAATCGATTTAATTGGTGGTTTTACTTACTTGGAGACGCCTTGGGCCTTACCTACGAAACTCGTGATGAATAAACCCAAGAAAACGGGAGAGGCCATTTTGGAGACGTTGAAGTATCCCTGAAGCATCTATGAATGCACCAGGTTACACCTGTCTACCCCGCTTGGCCGCGCTGGCGCACCCAGCTCTTGGATTCGGTCGTGGGGTGGCTCCCACGTGCCACCCCGCTGAAATACATGGGGTGCCACTTGCGCCCAGTGGCTGAGAAACTTGTTGCAAACAGGCCAAATCGCCCTTCTCTGCGGCATCTTGGACCGCTTGACCTCGGTCGGTCCAATCGGCGGCGAGGTCGGGAAGGTGCCCCCGTTTCCCACCCCGGTGCGGGACCGGCCGTCCTGAAGGAGGTCTTGGGATCTCCAGTGCATGTGGCACTCGATGTTTTGGAATATCATTCTGGACTCATGTAGACTCTTCCAACTTCTTCCGTACGTGACCTTTTGAAGGTTCCTATTCGTGACCCTTAGAAGGCGTGCTTGCGACCTCAAAGCAGGTTATCAAAAGGTCAATTTGAAGAACCAGGTTGATTATAACAAAGCCTCAATTCAAACGAGGGGGTCTACTAATCAAGAGTCTCCATTAGACTAAAATCGACTTTAAACCTAAGGCTGTGAAGCAACCAAGGCTGTTGGCTCAAACATGTCGAAAGAGAGCCCTTCAGGCTGGGCCACCATCTGGGTCAGCACTTGTTGCTTCATCTTCGCTCATGTGGCCTCACAAAACCCTGATCCACACCTCGTTGGAGAAGTGGGCCTGACTCCCGGCCTGACTCCGACCTGTCCCAAAGAGGTTAAGTGTGACCGGGACCAAAGGACCCGAGCGCCTTTTGGGGTACCCAACTGGGATAGTCGGTACGAAAGAACGGCTTCTTCCAACCTCTGTTGGTGTGCTGCTCGTGCCCAAAGACATCGCTGAGGTGCTGAAGGAACCACCCTGCTCGAACTTCTGCGTGTACAGCTGAGTGCTGCTCTCTTCCGCGACCTAGACTCGTGTGGGTGGGGTCGGTGCGGACCCTGGAGCCCCTACTACGCTGAGCCCCCCGTCCGCCTTCCAAACATGGGTGCTGTCTAAGAAGGTGGCAACAGCCAAAAAGGATGGTCACAAGCACCATTGTGTTTCTGACAAGTTCGAGGCTCATCGGCGAAAAGGGTGGGAAGAATTGGACAGCAAGCAATTGCCTTTTGAAGCCTTTCCCGCTACCAGCTCCTTTAGCTAGAGTCAGCTCGCTTGCCAAAAGGATCCTTACGTATTTGCAAATCAGTCCTCCTGCTTCCAATTATTGTAGCAAATGGATCCAACGACTAACCACGATGACTCGTGGTTCATTGGCGGCATCCATACCCAATGGATACCAAAAGTGTGGGGATTCTGGGACTTTATTCCAAGCAAGTGAATTAAATCCTTACCCCTCCAAACCCTAGGGTGCGACTCCAATTTTCATCTACCCATCATCGAAGGATCTTCAGAAACATATTTTTAAAAAACCACTCCAACTGCACGTCCAGCACAAAAATCGCCCAGGGCACGTCCGCATCGAAGAAATCCTCCTCCAGCTTTCCGGTCTCAACCAGCTCGACAGGACGTCCCGACTGGAAATCGTCCCAATGCCTGGCACGGCGGTCGCCCGCTCTGCGCCGGTCGGGCGACCGGCTAGTTTTACATGCTGTTGGCCCAGCAAAAATAGTCTGATGGGCACAGGCCATTTCAAAACCAAGTATGAGAGCATACCCAGATTTCGATGAACCGATCCGAGCTTGATAAACCCGTGAGCCTCCATGAATCCACATGTTTACACGCGACCCGCAGTTTTCAGGGTTGACTTCTGATCACCAAATATCTAATTAAACAAGAACCACACATTCACATGCACTCTCCAAAAATTAGGTGTGCCTGAGCTGCAAACTATGCTACAGCATGCTACAGCCAATATAGCCAAGTGAATTTTTGCAATATTTTACTATGATTTGTTTTCGTTCTGGGGCCATCTGGTGGTCGTTTTCTAGGTATGTTTCCCGAAAACTTGGAGCGAGAACACCGTCGCCGCACCGTGCGTGTTTGGAGAACATAAATACCTCGGCTTTCCTCTGTCGCCCTCCAAAACCCAGATAGAACAATGTTCAGAACGTCCCCAAATGCAGCCCAAGCTCCTCTCACGGAGGTGTTTGTGCACGAACTCAGGTGCGCGGAAGAGCTTCCGGCAAACGAGGCAGCGGAACTTCTGTTCCCCCACCTGGCACTGAGATGAGGAGATGGCCGGCCCTGCTATGGATGTGGGAATGTGGGGTTCGGAGCTTGCTTCAGTGCTTACTACGCATTGACTGCAACCAAAGAAACTCTAGAACCGGGGCCAGTTCGAAGTGAGAAAAGGGCCCGCAACAAAAACAGTTACATTTTCCAACAACTGGGATATGTTTGTGGGGTGGCTAGCGGCTATTGGCTATAGGGTACTGTGACTGGTACTATGATGGAAGCGGCAACCAGCTGCTGACCAATCATTCTTAAAACATGCGTGGGCTGCAGTCAGGGAACATTGCCACGTTTAAATTTCTACGGACGCCACATGTGTTCAAATTCAAAAAATTCAGCAACCTCTCTCGCCCTCCAGCACTGTTCTCCAGCACTGTTTTGGTCTTCTTAGCGACGTCAAACATGTTCTTGGTGCCGAAAACATCTCCAAAAAACTCCTCCTCCAATTCAGCATGCCGCCCTCGCAGAACCGCGGGACGGATCCCATGGGCACCGCTTGGGTCCGCTGCTCGCAGAACTCTTCGAAGGCGCGCTCCTGGGGCGCAGCCCAATTGGGAGGTGCTTGCTCGGGGGGTTCTTTCATGTGATGTGTTTGTCGGAGTGTCTGCGTTTCTTTGTTGGGAGTGTCGGTTTTTCTTCTTTGGAACGATCATGGGAGCCGATGGCACCAGCCTCTTGGTGCTCGGACAAGGCTCATCGAAACCTTTCGGGGCCAGGCCATCCACTTCTGCAATGATGATGTCAGGGAGGGGTGCATCCGAAGCATCTGGGAGCGAAGAACGCAACAAACACCATTTGTGCTGGCTGCATGTGACAGAGGAACGAGCAGCAGGCAAACATGCTGCCGCTTCAAGCGGAACCATATGCTTTCAAGCAAAATAGAAGCAATTCATTTTTTGTCATATGTTTTCAAGCAAACACAAAAACTGCAAAATAAAAAACAACCTTTAAACAAATAGAACAGAATCCAGCTGAATAAAAACAAACAAAGCAGAACAAAACAGAAAAAAATCAACATATTTCAAAGCGTCTCAAATTACCTCGGAAGAAATTGGATCGGATGGGTTTACAATAACCAGAGAAAAGTGAAAAATGCCAAATTTTCAAGATCGGAAAGGTTTCATCAATTAGAGCTATCTCATTAAATTTTCTAAACCTCAGAAACCACAAAATGAAAAAATGTAAAGCGAACGCACCAATATTTTCCTGAAAATTTCATAGCGTGTCATGTCTGCAAACATTTGTGATCAGTTTGTGTCAACTGTTGTCACTACCCTGCCCTGCCTGCTTTGCCATGTCGGTGAATCGCGCAGCAAAAAAAACTCGTGGCGCATGGCCAGGGATGATGTTTCTGTATTGTGAGGGTGCTTAATGGTTCTTGTCTACATGTTTTTGTCTATATTGATTTGTGATTTTGCTTTTTAGAGATTTTTAAATTAGTATGATAAGAAAATCTCTAATTTGATGCTAGTTGCCAAAACCTACCAAAACCATTCCAATCTAAAAACATCATAAAACATCTAAAAACGCCCCTAGAGTCGCGAGGCCTCCTAGACATGAGACCATTGGGGGGTTCAAGGCTGCTTTACAACCTGGTTGACTATTTGTTCATATTTTTTCAAAGTATGAATCCGCTGCTTGGTTGGGTCAAGCAAGGCAGCGCCACGGCTCAAGCCCGCTTACTGCAATGGAGCCTCTTGGTTGCAGCATTCCCACATACACTAACCTTTTTCCTTCCTCGTGTTGTCCAAGAAGAACTGGTCCGAGACAGCAGATGAGCCACTTGGTCTGATCACATCAGAGAGGTTCCTGTCCGCGTTCTCGACTTAGGGCCCATAAGGGCAGTTAAGTACGAGAACCTGGACTGTGGACGAAACGGTCCCCTCACACAGCATGGCTCGGAGGAACTCGTCGGCAAAGCTTGCTGCTCCATCGTGTCCTCGACGTCCAACACCGAGGGGTACAACTTGAGCTGCAATGTCCCGCTAACGCGCCAACGGGGCGGCGCAGCCTATATCCCGTTCGCACAGAACAACGAGTCGCTCGGTCGCGGAAGCCTGTTTTGGAAGGTGTGAGAGGAAGCATCACACTAGGGCTGTATACTGTGCACGGATCATGTCGACGACCTGGTTGAGCACAGCGTAGCCGTGGTGGTCGGTGCAGACACCAGCCTGGACACACTCAGCCAAAAGGGCGGTTGTGTTCAGAGGCCTCAGCAGGTAGCCTTATTCTGGAGGAGGTTCCCCACGAAGCGTAGGATGCGTTCGGGTGTCTTCACCTGCAGGTACGGAAAGCCGCCATCGATCGGCACTCGTGCTGCCCTGCCTGCTTTGCCATGTCGGTGAATCGCGCATACTTTTTCAACCCTAAAACAGTTTTTCAATAACCTTTTTTCTAGCCCTGCAACATGCTTTTTTAACCCCAGAACATTCGTTCTTGGCCCTGTAACATTCTTTTTTAGCCCTTGCACATGCTTTAATCGACCCTGGAAGTGGTCTTACAACCCTCTATAACATTACCCCACGCAACTTTAAGCTTTGCCAGTTTTCAACTGTTGAGCAAGCCGTGAGTCAGGGTGGAATGTAATCAGGAACTAGCCCTCGGGACTTTCCAACCTGGTTTAACTCTTGCGGGCATGGATCTAAGTGTGCATTGCAACCGGGTGCCACTGAGGTCTAGTGTGTGGTCCCCACGGGGCGGGTTGAGCGTAGACCCTTAAGGGGGAATTGTCAGTGATCACTTGTCTTGAGTGACTCCTGCCTGATCAGCTGACTGCTCAAGATTGCTGTTTCGCAACCGCGTCCCACTGAGGTCTAGTGTGTGGTCCCCACGAGGCGCGTTGAGCATAGACCCTTAAGGGGGGAGCGTCAGTGATCACTTGTCTTGCGTGACTCTTCCCTCATTAGCTGACTGCTCGAGATTGCTCAGAGCTGACTGCCGAAAACGGCTGCGGATATAGTGTTGATTTTTTTTGGTTTCTTTTATTCATGGGGGATGGGGGGGGGGGGGGGGGGGGGGCTATGGACCTTATGCCCAAGGCCTTTTTAGAAAATGATTAAGCTATCAAGTATATAACATCAAGTAACTATCAGATCAGCTCCCTTCCTGCAGGCCCTCCAAAACAAACATGTGCACGTTTTTTGCCGTGGCGGATTTTGACCATCCGACGGCTCAGCAGATGTTGTTGCTCATAATGTTGTTTGGTGGAAGGAAAGAGGAATTGAATTCAGGTTTTCCAGTTGGCATGGGCTGATCATGGCTGATCTATCAGCCAATGAATCATCAACCAATTTGGGAACCTTTTGAGGCACCAAAATCGATAACTTTTGAGGGCGCTGGCTAATTTCTGGATAAGACCTGGATAAGCCTTGGATAAGGGGGAATCTGCAAGGCAGGAGGTTTTTAGGGTAACCCATGGATAAGCCCTGAATAGCTTGTCCAGAAGGCTTTTGGTGGAAAGGACTGCCACCAAAGGAGCCCTCAAATTGAACCCCGCAAAAGGCCTAAGCACTAGCTTTTGAAATTCTGGTGGTAGATTCTGGACACACATATATATAGATATATATTAACTATAAATTTCATGATTGATGAAACCCTCAATCGATTGTCAAAGAACAGTCGCTGGCTTTTTGGAGCCAGGGCACCGAAAGGAACGGCGGCCAAATCGAGCGGAGCCGATGGATGAAAACATTGGGTTGGGATTGGGTGGTCTCATTGGGTAAGCTATCCTGTGTCTATCCAAGGCTAATAAGAATTTATTAGGGTCTTATTGCTAAGACCTTATTAAAGGCCATTTCCATGGTTGTTAAAAGCCTCTTAAAAGCTTAATAGCTGCTATTAGTAATTATTAAAAGCTTAATCAGAATGCACACTGTTTGCGCACTATCAATGAGCAAACCCTAAGCACCATATCCCCCCCCCCCCCCGCCCCCCCCAACCCCCATGATTTATTGATGTTTTTGTTTTTCGTTCAGTGCAATACTTTGGACCTTGAAGTGCAGATTTCGTGGCAGGCGCAGTACTGTGCGGTCTTTGAAGTGCAAATTCTGTGGCAGGCGAAGTACTTTGCGGACCTTGAGTAGCAGGTGCAGCTTTGTAGGCCTTGAAATGCAAATTTCGTGGCAGGCGCAGTACTTTGTGGACCTTGAAGTGCAGATTTCATGGTACGCGCAGTACTTTGTGGACCTTGAAGTGCAAATTTCGTGGCGCGTGCAGTACTTTGTGGACCTTGAAGTGCAGATTTCGTGGTGGGCGCAGTGCTTTGCAGACCTTGAATTGCAAATTTTGTGGCAGGTGCAGCACTTTGTGAACTTGGAAAGTGGAGATAGAGAGAGAGAGAGAGATAGAGAGAGAGACAGTATTTTGCAAGAGAGACCAAGAAAAACAGATAGATAGATAGATAGATAGATAGATAGCTAGATAGATGAGATGAGATTAGATTAGATTGGATTAGATTAGGTTAGTTAGTTAGATAGATAGATAGATAGATATAAGTAGATAGATAGATAAATAGATATAAGTAGATAGATAGATAGATAGATAGATAGACAGATAGATAGATAGATAGCTAGATAAATGAGATTAGATTAGATTAGATTAGGTTAGTTAGATAGATAGATAGATAGATGAGATTAGATTAGGCTAATAGTTAGATAGATAGATAGATAGATAGATAGAGAGATAGATATAAGTAGATAGATAGATAGATAGATAGATAGATAGATA